TTTTGCGACTACCTCTGAAGTTACGAATTTTCTTACCAATATGATTTCAAAATAACCTGTAGCCATAAAAATAAAGATTTTAAATTTTAAACGTTATGCACTGTTTATCTAGGTTTCTTTTCAATTTCCATACAAACCGATCTAAAGAACAAACCTAAAGTAAGGAAAGTGACAGTGAGATCTTGGTATTCAGACTTCTCTGAGTCTGGGTATTGTGAGGACTTAGCTGCACACTTCCATATCACGGGCTGAAGTTGTAGTCAATCCTTGTAGCGTAGCAGCTGTGATGGTCAGACTAGATTCCTGGATATTGCTGCTAACTGTCCCTTGCGTGATAGTGTATCCTCCCTGACTGTCTGTTATTTGGGTGTTATCTCCACTCGTCCATGATACAGTAACAGCTGTAGTTACGTCTCCGATATTGCAGACCAATGTCTGATCCACAGCGGTGGTTGCTGACATGTCAACAGGAGTGATAGCTGAAATAATATGAGATAAATGGTTTCAAGATCATTTAATATCATTAGCTAAACCGGCTGTTAGACAAACTGCATTGGTGTAGTATGGTTAGTGCCTTCACAATCAACAAAATTAAACTTCTGAACATCCGTATAAAGTTAATATTAGTAAGATACTCACTGAACACGTTCGAGTTAACATTAGTTTTCTCTTCAGACCCCCCTGATGTCTTTCCATGCTCGTCACATTGAATGACACATGTGTAACCAGCATCAGCCCCGTTTGCAGAGGCAGGAATTGTCAGAACTGTAGTTTGACTCTTTGAACCAGAATCGTAAGTTCCAACGGCAATCTGATAGTCCTCAGCAGCAGTACCGTGAGTTATAACACCACCCGAACTAGGTTTCTCCCATGTTACCGCGTCCAATTGCTTTGTCAGGCCGTTCACTACACAAGATATTGTTGCCGCTGTGTCCTTGAGAACTTCGCTGTCTTTTGCGACTACCTCTGAAGTTACGAATTTTCTTACCAATATGATTTCAAAATAACCTGTAGCCATAAAAATAAAGATTTTAAATTTTAAACGTTATGCACTGTTTATCTAGGTTTCTTTTCAATTTCCATACAAACCGATCTAAAGAACAAACCTAAAGTAAGGAAAGTGACAGTGAGATCTTGGTATTCAGACTTCTCTGAGTCTGGGTATTGTGAGGACTTAGCTGCACACTTCCATATCACGGGTGAAGTTGTAGTCAATCCTTGTAGCGTAGCAGCTGTGATGGTCAGACTAGATTCCTGGATATTGCTGCTAACTGTCCCTTGCGTGATAGTGTATCCTCCCTGACTGTCTGTTATTTGGGTGTTATCTCCACTCGTCCATGATACAGTAACAGCTGTAGTTACGTCTCCGATATTGCAGACCAATGTCTGATCCACAGCGGTGGTTGCTGACATGTCAACAGGAGTGATAGCTGAAATAATATGAGATAAATGGTTTCAAGATCATTTAATATCATTAGCTAAACCGGCTGTTAGACAAACTGCATTGGTGTAGTATGGTTAGTGCCTTCACAATCAACAAAATTAAACTTCTGAACATCCGTATAAAGTTAATATTAGTAAGATACTCACTGAACACGTTCGAGTTAACATTAGTTTTCTCTTCAGACCCCCCTGATGTCTTTCCATGCTCGTCACATTGAATGACACATGTGTAACCAGCATCAGCCCCGTTTGCAGAGGCAGGAATTGTCAGAACTGTAGTTTGACTCTTTGAACCAGAATCGTAAGTTCCAACGGCAATCTGATAGTCCTCAGCAGCAGTACCGTGAGTTATAACACCACCCGAACTAGGTTTCTCCCATGTTACCGCGTCCAATTGCTTTGTCAGGCCGTTCACTACACAAGATATTGTTGCCGCTGTGTCCTTGAGAACTTCGCTGTCTTTTGCGACTACCTCTGAAGTTACGAATTTTCTTACCAATATGATTTCAAAATAACCTGTAGCCATAAAAATAAAGATTTTAAATTTTAAACGTTATGCACTGTTTATCTAGGTTTCTTTTCAATTTCCATACAAACCGATCTAAAGAACAAACCTAAAGTAAGGAAAGTGACAGTGAGATCTTGGTATTCAGACTTCTCTGAGTCTGGGTATTGTGAGGACTTAGCTGCACACTTCCATATCACGGGTGAAGTTGTAGTCAATCCTTGTAGCGTAGCAGCTGTGATGGTCAGACTAGATTCCTGGATATTGCTGCTAACTGTCCCTTGCGTGATAGTGTATCCTCCCTGACTGTCTGTTATTTGGGTGTTATCTCCACTCGTCCATGATACAGTAACAGCTGTAGTTACGTCTCCGATATTGCAGACCAATGTCTGATCCACAGCGGTGGTTGCTGACATGTCAACAGGAGTGATAGCTGAAATAATATGAGATAAATGGTTTCAAGATCATTTAATATCATTAGCTAAACCGGCTGTTAGACAAACTGCATTGGTGTAGTATGGTTAGTGCCTTCACAATCAACAAAATTAAACTTCTGAACATCCGTATAAAGTTAATATTAGTAAGATACTCACTGAACACGTTCGAGTTAACATTAGTTTTCTCTTCAGACCCCCCTGATGTCTTTCCATGCTCGTCACATTGAATGACACATGTGTAACCAGCATCAGCCCCGTTTGCAGAGGCAGGAATTGTCAGAACTGTAGTTTGACTCTTTGAACCAGAATCGTAAGTTCCAACGGCAATCTGATAGTCCTCAGCAGCAGTACCGTGAGTTATAACACCACCCGAACTAGGTTTCTCCCATGTTACCGCGTCCAATTGCTTTGTCAGGCCGTTCACTACACAAGATATTGTTGCCGCTGTGTCCTTGAGAACTTCGCTGTCTTTTGCGACTACCTCTGAAGTTACGAATTTTCTTACCAATATGATTTCAAAATAACCTGTAGCCATAAAAATAAAGATTTTAAATTTTAAACGTTATGCACTGTTTATCTAGGTTTCTTTTCAATTTCCATACAAACCGATCTAAAGAACAAACCTAAAGTAAGGAAAGTGACAGTGAGATCTTGGTATTCAGACTTCTCTGAGTCTGGGTATTGTGAGGACTTAGCTGCACACTTCCATATCACGGGTGAAGTTGTAGTCAATCCTTGTAGCGTAGCAGCTGTGATGGTCAGACTAGATTCCTGGATATTGCTGCTAACTGTCCCTTGCGTGATAGTGTATCCTCCCTGACTGTCTGTTATTTGGGTGTTATCTCCACTCGTCCATGATACAGTAACAGCTGTAGTTACGTCTCCGATATTGCAGACCAATGTCTGATCCACAGCGGTGGTTGCTGACATGTCAACAGGAGTGATAGCTGAAATAATATGAGATAAATGGTTTCAAGATCATTTAATATCATTAGCTAAACCGGCTGTTAGACAAACTGCATTGGTGTAGTATGGTTAGTGCCTTCACAATCAACAAAATTAAACTTCTGAACATCCGTATAAAGTTAATATTAGTAAGATACTCACTGAACACGTTCGAGTTAACATTAGTTTTCTCTTCAGACCCCCCTGATGTCTTTCCATGCTCGTCACATTGAATGACACATGTGTAACCAGCATCAGCCCCGTTTGCAGAGGCAGGAATTGTCAGAACTGTAGTTTGACTCTTTGAACCAGAATCGTAAGTTCCAACGGCAATCTGATAGTCCTCAGCAGCAGTACCGTGAGTTATAACACCACCCGAACTAGGTTTCTCCCATGTTACCGCGTCCAATTGCTTTGTCAGGCCGTTCACTACACAAGATATTGTTGCCGCTGTGTCCTTGAGAACTTCGCTGTCTTTTGCGACTACCTCTGAAGTTACGAATTTTCTTACCAATATGATTTCAAAATAACCTGTAGCCATAAAAATAAAGATTTTAAATTTTAAACGTTATGCACTGTTTATCTAGGTTTCTTTTCAATTTCCATACAAACCGATCTAAAGAACAAACCTAAAGTAAGGAAAGTGACAGTGAGATCTTGGTATTCAGACTGCTCTGAGTCTGGGTATTGTGAGGACTTAGCTGCACACTTCCATATCACGGAGCTGAAGTTGTAGTCCAGTGCTTGTAGCGTAGCAGCTGTGATGGTCAGACTAGATTCCTGGATATTGCTGCTAACTGTCCCTTGCGTGATAGTGTATCCTCCCTGACTGTCTGTTATTTGGGTGTTATCTCCACTCGTCCATGATACAGTAACAGCTGTAGTTACGTCTCCGATATTGCAGACCAATGTCTGATCCACAGCGGTGGTTGCTGACATGTCAACAGGAGTGATAGCTGAAATAATATGAGATAAATGGTTTCAAGATCATTTAATATCATTAGCTAAACCGGCTGTTAGACAAACTGCATTGGTGTAGTATGGTTAGTGCCTTCACAATCAACAAAATTAAACTTCTGAACATCCGTATAAAGTTAATATTAGTAAGATACTCACTGAACACGTTCGAGTTAACATTAGTTTTCTCTTCAGACCCCCCTGATGTCTTTCCATGCTCGTCACATTGAATGACACATGTGTAACCAGCATCAGCCCCGTTTGCAGAGGCAGGAATTGTCAGAACTGTAGTTTGACTCTTTGAACCAGAATCGTAAGTTCCAACGGCAATCTGATAGTCCTCAGCAGCAGTACCGTGAGTTATAACACCACCCGAACTAGGTTTCTCCCATGTTACCGCGTCCAATTGCTTTGTCAGGCCGTTCACTACACAAGATATTGTTGCCGCTGTGTCCTTGAGAACTTCGCTGTCTTTTGCGACTACCTCTGAAGTTACGAATTTTCTTACCAATATGATTTCAAAATAACCTGTAGCCATGAAAATAAAGATTTTAAATTTTAAACGTTATGCACTGTTTATCTAGGTTTCTTTTCAATTTCCATACAAACCGATCTAAAGAACAAACCTAAAGTGAGGAAAGTGACAGTGAGATCTTGGTATTCAGACTGCTCGGAGTCTGCGTATTGTGAGGACTTAGCTGCACACTTCCATATCACGGAGCTGAACTTGTTTCCTGTGCTTGTAGCGTAGCAGCTGTGATGGTCAGACTAGATTCCTGGATATTGCTGCTAACTGTCCCTTGCGTGATAGTGTATCCTCCCTGACCGTCTGTTATTTGGGTGTTATCTCCACTCGTCCATGATACAGTAACAGCTGTAGTTACGTCTCCGATATTGCAGACCAATGTCTGATCCACAGCGGTGGTTGCTGACATGTCAACAGGAGTGATAGCTGAAATAATATGAGATAAATGGTTTCAAGATCATTTAATATCATTAGCTAAACCGGCTGTTAGACAAACTGCATTGGTGTAGTATGGTTAGTGCCTTCACAATCAACAAAATTAAACTTCTGAACATCCGTATAAAGTTAATATTAGTAAGATACTCACTGAACACGTTCGAGTTAACATTAGTTTTCTCTTCAGACCCCCCTGATGTCTTTCCATGCTCGTCACATTGAATGACACATGTGTAACCAGCATCAGCCCCGTTTGCAGAGGCAGGAATTGTCAGAACTGTAGTTTGACTCTTTGAACCAGAATCGTAAGTTCCAACGGCAATCTGATAGTCCTCAGCAGCAGTACCGTGAGTTATAACACCACCCGAACTAGGTTTCTCCCATGTTACCGCGTCCAATTGCTTTGTCAGGCCGTTCACTACACAAGATATTGTTGCCGCTGTGTCCTTGAGAACTTCGCTGTCTTTTGCGACTACCTCTGAAGTTACGAATTTTCTTACCAATATGATTTCAAAATAACCTGTAGCCATAAAAATAAAGATTTTAAATTTTAAACGTTATGCACTGTTTATCTAGGTTTCTTTTCAATTTCCATACAAACCGATCTAAAGAACAAACCTAAAGTAAGGAAAGTGACAGTGAGATCTTGGTATTCAGACTTCTCTGAGTCTGGGTATTGTGAGGACTTAGCTGCACACTTCCATATCACGGAGCTGAAGTTGTAGTCAATCCTTGTAGCGTAGCAGCTGTGATGGTCAGACTAGATTCCTGGATATTGCTGCTAACTGTCCCTTGCGTGATAGTGTATCCTCCCTGACTGTCTGTTATTTGGGTGTTATCTCCACTCGTCCATGATACAGTAACAGCTGTAGTTACGTCTCCGATATTGCAGACCAATGTCTGATCCACAGCGGTGGTTGCTGACATGTCAACAGGAGTGATAGCTGAAATAATATGAGATAAATGGTTTCAAGATCATTTAATATCATTAGCTAAACCGGCTGTTAGACAAACTGCATTGGTGTAGTATGGTTAGTGCCTTCACAATCAACAAAATTAAACTTCTGAACATCCGTATAAAGTTAATATTAGTAAGATACTCACTGAACACGTTCGAGTTAACATTAGTTTTCTCTTCAGACCCCCCTGATGTCTTTCCATGCTCGTCACATTGAATGACACATGTGTAACCAGCATCAGCCCCGTTTGCAGAGGCAGGAATTGTCAGAACTGTAGTTTGACTCTTTGAACCAGAATCGTAAGTTCCAACGGCAATCTGATAGTCCTCAGCAGCAGTACCGTGAGTTATAACACCACCCGAACTAGGTTTCTCCCATGTTACCGCGTCCAATTGCTTTGTCAGGCCGTTCACTACACAAGATATTGTTGCCGCTGTGTCCTTGAGAACTTCGCTGTCTTTTGCGACTACCTCTGAAGTTACGAATTTTCTTACCAATATGATTTCAAAATAACCTGTAGCCATAAAATAAAGATTTTAAATTTTAAACGTTATGCACTGTTTATCTAGGTTTCTTTTCAATTTCCATACAAACCGATCTAAAGAACAAACCTAAAGTAAGGAAAGTGACAGTGAGATCTTGGTATTCAGACTTCTCTGAGTCTGGGTATTGTGAGGACTTAGCTGCACACTTCCATATCACGGGCTGAAGTTGTAGTCAATCCTTGTAGCGTAGCAGCTGTGATGGTCAGACTAGATTCCTGGATATTGCTGCTAACTGTCCCTTGCGTGATAGTGTATCCTCCCTGACCGTCTGTTATTTGGGTGTTATCTCCACTCGTCCATGATACAGTAACAGCTGTAGTTACGTCTCCGATATTGCAGACCAATGTCTGATCCACAGCGGTGGTTGCTGACATGTCAACAGGAGTGATAGCTGAAATAATATGAGATAAATGGTTTCAAGATCATTTAATATCATTAGCTAAACCGGCTGTTAGACAAACTGCATTGGTGTAGTATGGTTAGTGCCTTCACAATCAACAAAATTAAACTTCTGAACATCCGTATAAAGTTAATATTAGTAAGATACTCACTGAACACGTTCGAGTTAACATTAGTTTTCTCTTCAGACCCCCCTGATGTCTTTCCATGCTCGTCACATTGAATGACACATGTGTAACCAGCATCAGCCCCGTTTGCAGAGGCAGGAATTGTCAGAACTGTAGTTTGACTGTTTGAACCAGAATCGTAAGTTCCAACGGCAATCTGATAGTCCTCAGCAGCAGTACCGTGAGTTATAACACCACCCGAACTAGGTTTCTCCCATGTTACCGCGTCCAATTGCTTTGTCAGGCCGTTCACTACACAAGATATTGTTGCCGCTGTGTCCTTGAGAACTTCGCTGTCTTTTGCGACTACCTCTGAAGTTACGAATTTTCTTACCAATATGATTTCAAAATAACCTGTAGCCATAAAAATAAAGATTTTAAATTTTAAACGTTATGCACTGTTTATCTAGGTTTCTTTTCAATTTCCATACAAACCGATCTAAAGAACAAACCTAAAGTAAGGAAAGTGACAGTGAGATCTTGGTATTCAGACTGCTCTGAGTCTGCGTATTGTGAGGACTTAGCTGCACACTTCCATATCACGGAGCTGAACTTGTAGTCCTGTGCTTGTAGCGTAGCAGCTGTGATGGTCAGACTAGATTCCTGGATATTGCTGCTAACTGTCCCTTGCGTGATAGTGTATCCTCCCTGACCGTCTGTTATTTGGGTGTTATCTCCACTCGTCCATGATACAGTAACAGCTGTAGTTACGTCTCCGATATTGCAGACCAATGTCTGATCCACAGCGGTGGTTGCTGACATGTCAACAGGAGTGATAGCTGAAATAATATGAGATAAATGGTTTCAAGATCATTTAATATCATTAGCTAAACCGGCTGTTAGACAAACTGCATTGGTGTAGTATGGTTAGTGCCTTCACAATCAACAAAATTAAACTTCTGAACATCCGTATAAAGTTAATATTAGTAAGATACTCACTGAACACGTTCGAGTTAACATTAGTTTTCTCTTCAGACCCCCCTGATGTCTTTTCCATGCTCGTCACATTGAATGACACATGTGTAACCAGCATCAGCCCCGTTTGCAGAGGCAGGAATTGTCAGAACTGTAGTTTGACTGTTTGAACCAGAATCGTAAGTTCCAACGGCAATCTGATAGTCCTCAGCAGCAGTACCGTGAGTTATAACACCACCCGAACTAGGTTTCTCCCATGTTACTGCGTCCAATTGCTTTGTCAGGCCGTTCACTACACAAGATATTGTTGCCGCTGTGTCCTTGAGAACTTCGCTATCTTTTGCGACTACCTCTGAAGTTACGAATTTTCCTATCAATATGATTTCAAAATAACCTGTAGCCATGAAAATAAAGATTTTAAATTTTAAACGTTATGCACTGTTTATCAAGGTTTCTTTTCAATTTCCATACATACCGATCTAAAGAACAAACCTTAAGTAAATAAAGTGACAGTGAGATCTTTGGGTTAATAAGACTGCTCGGAGTCTGCGTATTGTGAGGACTATAATGTTACGTTTATAAAAAAACTGTATTAAGTAAATGTTTTTTTAATTAAAATATAATATTATGTAAATTATGTAAATAATTACAAAGATTTTACCCACCGATAACTTCTAAAGTGATTACTTCAGAAATCCCAACAGTATCATCATAACACTCAATAGAGTCACTAGCATCAGTTCCCATCAGCGAAGACAGAGTCAAAATACTTTTCCTAGTGCCAGTCTGGATGTCATAATCTTCTTGCTCAGCTATCAGAGTGATGTAGTTCTGGTTTTGTCCGGTGTAATCTGCCGCTTTCTTCCTCCACTTAATATCTACACCTGGTGCTGCCGTGGCAAGACAGAAGAGTGTGGTTGAGTCTCCGGCGAACACTTGGACAGGGGCGTCGAGGGAGCTGGTTACAATCTCTAGGGAAATGTGGTGCTGGTAACATCACAGTAATGAACGATACAAGTTTCTGTTTAAAAGAATGTTTACAATTAAACTGGCTTTATAAAACTGAAGTTTTTGAGGAAATATGCTCTGTCTATAAAGCTGTAATTAACCTACTGTTCATTATGACGGTTGTTGAATTTTCCAGGGAGTTCCCAGCATGAGTAGCAAGCCCGCTGTAAGTAATGACACATTTGTAAACACTGTTGTCGTTTTCCAGGGATATGGTAATGGGCAATTTGCTCTGAATGGTAGAGCTATCTTCTGCTACCACCAAAGCCTCAGGTGTCTCTTGAGTTGCAATGTCTCCATTCAGCCATGATACTTCAGGAACAGTCAGATCTGCATGGAACTGAGCGGTACAAGTAAAGGTTACAGTTGTTCCAATGTTACCCCGAGTTGGTGAAGTCAGTGGCTCTGTTATCGAGAACACTGTAAGGGTACTTGAGGTCGGACTGAACTCTGTTGCGCTTTTATTGCACTGAAAAATACCTTCTTTGTTTGAGGAGTCAATTGTGATGACATACTCTGCGACTGTCCTACCATCTTCATAATATGAATTTGTTGGACCACTATAGTATGAATTTGTTGAACTAATGTCTTGGGAACCATCGTGGAAGTAGAGATCAACTTCTCTGGGAGAGGTAACTTGGCAGGTGAGTGTGACAGAAATTCCAGCTCCGTAGGTGCTGTAAATAGCAGCTGAGCTTACCATCTCTACCAGGTTCAAGTTCACATCAGGGAAAATACCCTCAGGTACATTTCCCTCAGATAAAACAAACGAGCACCTGTATTCACCACTGGAAGCTCGGCTTGTTAGGGTCAGAATGTGAGTGTTGGGGTCGTCCTGGTCACTACTATACTGCGAAGGGTCTATCTTCCCATCGGGACCTGACCATGTAATAGCAGACACCTCATCACTCGCATCAAGAATACAACTGAGCTGCAACCCTGCATTAGCGTAACTATATACCCTGTCTTCGGAAGGAAGTGTGCGAACAAGCCCCACTATAAGTCTGCCTTTAGATGCATAACTCTCACTATCAGATACAGAGAACATACACATGTAGACCCCAGCATTTGTTGTGGTGATTCCCTCTTCTTTGATGGTCAGTGTGGTCTTGAAGAGTCCGTTGTTTACCTCGGTATCTGTTGTTACCTTGTAAGTAGAGCCCGTAACTAGGGGGTCATTGGCATCTACGTCGATATTGTACCTGAGGTAGAAGGAATTATGGATTGATGATAAATGATATGGATTATATTGTTACTCATAATTTTCCCGATAGTTTTTATTTATGATTCACCTTCATGATGAACCATTTTTCAATAACAACTTTGTACGTACCAGAAGGTAGATCTAGGTGCAGCACCTTCTGAAGAAGGTAGATCTGCACCTGCAGGTAGATCTTCACCTAGATCTGCACCTTCTGAACCAACTCCAAGTCCACACTGCATTATGACGGCTGCTCCACTCGAGTAGTATTTTGAGTTCAATCCGCTCGTCAAACCTGAAAATAACTATCTTAAAATCACCTGCATTTCAATTTTTTTAAAGAGAGGCTGGACCTCTTGGCCGACGAGAGGATAACATAAAGATGCTTTGTCTGCGTCTGGGTGTAGTATCCCTGATGGATACCGATTACCGGGGTAAAATGGGTGGATGTGTTAAGGTGGTGATGGTGTGAAGATGTATTAGTGTTTATTAATGTGATGACCAGAGAGGGTGACTTGGACCGCGTTTGTGATAGCTTTAAGTCACTCCTGTTTGATCTTGTTCCTCTGGCACTAATAAGCGTCTGGTGTGGTTAGCGAAATTTACAATAGTGGTAATGTGTTGGTTGTCGAATATGTCGTTGACGGAGAGGTTGTAGTCCTGAAAGTGCTGCCCCCTCAGCTGTGCTACAGCTGGACACTGTCCGACGAAGTTACTAGGGACAGCCTCCTCTTCGCCGCCGCATATAGGACATGCAGTACACACTAGTGTTCGATTTGTAGATGTTATGGAGGTGTCTATTGAGACTGCAGTGTCACATGATGAGGTACATTTTAGTTCTGTATTTTTGTCTGTTATTTCAATTGTAAACAACTCTGCTTTTTTAAGCGGCCGACAACCATTTGATATTAAAATTGTATCAGTGACTATTTCAAAAATTGTTGATTATTTGTCTGGACGAATTTACATCCAACATTTCGAACAAACCTCTGAACTTCAACACAGTGTAAGCTGTTAGTTCTGCCGCGGGGTCCGTGAACATGTATTTGCAGGTGATTGGTTTGCTGGCATCTGAATAAATTCGTCCCGAGACAATCAGCTGATCGTTCCTGGATATTATGTTTGATACATTTTAAAAGAAATATTTGTCAACAGTATCAAGTTCTCACTCGACAAATAACAGCTGGATAATTAAAATATTGTGTGACTCTCTCAAACTCAAATGCCCTACCACTACCCCAGACCACCTCCACCTCTTCAGCCAGGAACAGCGCTCCCACTATAGCACTACCAGTACCCGCAGTTCCTACCGCCTCAGAGGACACACGTGCCCCTTATTCCTCATGCCTCGTCTTAAATGTCCAGTCCATGAATCCTAGTGCATCAAGTACGAGTAGATGGAAAGTGCCAGAAATCTCAGCTCTTATTCAGGATAAGAAATCCAGAAACCACTCGTTACCGTTCATAGCACTTACGGAAACGTGGCTCAAGTCCTATATGTCAGACGCACAACGGTATCTCGCAGCGACCTTGATGCAAGAGTGGGAGGGGGTGTTCTACTCTACTCTCATGTCAACTTACCGGTCAGTGAGTGTAACACGTTTGATGACGGCACGTGTGAGGGACTTTTCTGTAGTTTCAGCACTATAAAGACATGTGTTGCTGTGGCTTATCGTCCGCCTAATGCATCCTTGTCAAGCTTTAAAGCACTCCTCAGTTTTTTCTCCGTGTGTATCAGTAGTATTAATGACGACAGCTACGATATCATGATGACTGGAGACTTTAACTTACCCTCAATTGACTGGCAGACAAATTGTGTTCAATCTGGAGGCACGCAAGAAATTCAGCAGTCAGCACAGCATTTTTTAACTTTCATGTCTGATCATCTGCTGAGTCAGTACGTAATGTGTCCAACGAGAGGAAACAATGTTTTGGACCTGTTTATTACTAACAACAACCGGGTTGTTAGAAATGTTGACTGCAAAACCACAACAATGTCAGACCATCACGTGGTAGATGTTATGCTAGCATATAATCCACTTGAACAGGAGAAATCAGCAGTGCCGAAGTTTGATGAAAACTCGTACAGATGCCTTGATTTTCTCCAAGCAGACTTCAGCTCGCTCAGAGACGAGATAGAAGACACTAACTGGTCTCAACTTCGTTCTTCATGCTCTTTTGAAGACTTCCCAGCCTTGTTTACTGAGACCCTCTTTCAGATATTTTCGTCTCATGTTCCCCGAAAGGTTAAACCTTCTGGGCGCCCAAAACATACCAATGCTTTGCGGCGTAAAAGGAACCGACTCAAGGCAAGGATGAATGCCTTAGTCAACAATGGTGCACCTGACGATCACATCAGAAATGTTAGGAACAAGGTTGCACTCCTACAGTATGATATTCGATGTGCCCATACCAAGAGACTTGATGAAAAGGAATCCAGGGCAGTAGAAAAGATCAAAACAAATCCCAAGTTCTTGTTCAGTTATGCTGAGTCTCTGTCGAAGATCAAATCCAGTATTAACATGCTCTTTGATAGCAACCAGGAGATAACCACAGACCCCAAGAAAATGGCCGATCTGCTGCAGGAACAGTTCAGCTCTGTGTTTAGCGATCCGACCTCTCCTGATGTTAAGGATCCGGTTTTCTCCCCTCCCTCTATCCAGCACCCACAAGAACTAGAGGACTTTAGAATTAGTGACGAAGATATCATTTCAGCTATAAAAAGTATCTCTACAGATTCTGCTTGTGGACCAGACGGAATACCTACAACTCTCTTGAAAAACTGTGCTAAGGAGTTGTGTTCTCCTATACGAATTATTTGGGAGGAATCATTTGAAAACGGTACAGTGCCATCGTTCTACAAAGACACCTACATTACACCACTATTTAAAAAGGGTGACAGGGCCAAGGCAGTCAACTACAGACCAGTTGCTCTCACTTCGCACATCATCAAAGTGTACGAACGTATCCTCCGTGGTGACGGTGTTATGGTTGACTTTATTGAGAAAAATCAGTTACTCTGCAACAACCAGCACGGGTTCCGCTCAGGAAGAAGCTGCCTTACCCAGCTGTTAAGTCACGTAGACGATATAGTTCAAGGTCTTACTAGAAATGCAGACACTGACGCTATATATCAGGATTTTGCCAAAGCCTTTGATAAGGTCGATCATCGGTTACTGCTTCTGAAAATGAAGAGATTGGGGTTTCATGAGAAGGTGGTAAACTGGATCCGATCCTTCCTGACTGAAAGGAAGCAATGTGTTGTGTTAGATGGTGTATCATCGTTTGCTGCCGCAATCCTCAGTGGAGTTCCACAAGGCACCGTTCTTGGGCCACTGTTATTCATTCTGTTCATAAATGATATAAAGCTATGTGTTAAAGGGTCTGTCATCAGATTCTTTGCTGATGACACTAGGATTCTTAAGCATATCTACATTTTGGCCGACAAAGATGTCCTGCAGGATGATCTCAACTCTGTTGTTAATTGAGCTAAGTGCAACAACATGGCCCTTCATGAGGATAAGTTCGAGCTTCTTGTTCACAAGCATTGTCCAAGAATTCCTTGTTTGATCATCCATTCGCCATCCAAGCTCAAACATATGAAGTGTCTAACGGAAACATGCTGTACCCCACTCAAACGGTGAAAGATCTAGGAGTGACAGTTTCCGCTGATTTGTCCTGGACCCCACACGTCAACAGGATAGCTGAACGCGCAGGAAAAGTTGCTTCTTGGGTGCTAAGTGCGTTCAAAACGAGAGTCAAAGCCACCATGATGACTCTGTACAAGTTTCTCGTTAGAAGCCATCTGGAGTATTGCTGTCCTCTGTGGAATTGCTCTAAGAACAAGGACATCCAACAGCTAGAAGGGATTCAGCGTACGTTTACATCGAAAATAGATGGCACCCAGCACCTCAACTACTGGCAGAGATTAAAGGCCCTAGATCTGATGTCATTGCAAAGAAGAAGAGAACGGTATTTAATCATCAACATGTGGAAAGTTCTGCATTGCAAGTGCCCTAATGATATTGGTATCCAGTTCTCGGTGACTCTCAGACATGGACAAAAAGCAGTTGTGCCCAGTATAGCTAAGTCCAGCAGTCAACGTAATCAAGCACTACATGACAACTCATTTGCAGTCACTGGACCTCGATTATGGAATGTAATCTCAACACATATGCACACCATCGAGGATCCTATGCAATTCAAAGCAGCTTTAACGAACTTTGTGAAGTCATTTCCGGACGAGCCTCCAGCTCCAGGATACAGCCGTCGGAATGGAAACTCCTTGCTTGATTGGAGTGGTGATAAAACAGTTTCTACACTGTCCGGGGGGTCGACTTTTTCGATGGCCCGATAGAGGATTCTATGAAACCCTACAAAGTAACAAAGTAAGTGACTCACGAATCACGTTCAATTGAAAATCATACCTTTCATTCGTGTCGTGGTTCACAGATCCGGTATTTATAGATATTCCCTCATCAGATTCAGATACGATTGACCCAGCTACCACCCACAACACAGAGGGCTCATCATTTCCCTTGTAGGTACAGGTAACAGTGTACGATTCTAAACTAGATAAAACCTCCGCGTCCAGAGGATCCACAGCTGAAATAATAAGGAGCTTCTAAGCTGAAGACGGATAACACGTGTTGTTTTAAAAGCTACTGTTATTGTTCCTTACAAACTAACACTAATTTTACTGTTCAAAAGCCCCTCCGGAGCTGTCAAGCCTTCTTAAGATGAGTTGACGTTAATGTGTGAGGGATTGACATGGTCAATCAATTTGTTAAAACTAAATTACAACTAATCATTAATTTAACTCACATCGAACCCTAAAGGTTGTGGTTGATGTTATGTCCTGGCCGGTTCCGGAGAATGAGAAAGCACATTTAATCGCTCCCCCACTGGACTTTAAAATCGGGTCTACTGTTAAAACTGTTTCCCATTTCTCCGTATTTCCTCCGTAACTGCCCTAAGACATTGAAATTGAACTAAAAATGTACTCTTTTTATTACACAAATAAATTTAATTCAGAGGTTTCGTATTTGATCAAGAAGTGGGCCATGAAGATAACAAATATTCATACAAATTGTCAGATCTTATGAAAACGACTACTTCAGATTCTGAAGATAACAACCATAACTCTACCTGAGTAACAGAGTAACCAGCCGGCAGAGCTCCCTCATTGTAAACCCACGTGACGCCCTCCACATTATCGTCTCCATGATACTCACAAGTAAATCTTTGTGATCCACCCAAGGAATTAGCAGCCGTGTACTCGTTTAGTGTTTTCGACAGCTCTGTAAAGTATAATATGGTATGATTGTGGAGCTGATCTCATGTGTATGATAATAATGTATAATTTATGTGTATATCCAAATAAAAATGGTGGATAATGATATGCAATTTTGTAACATCTTTTGACGGAGTATCAAAGCTCATAACCTACTGGCACCCTAAACGAACCTCTGATATATAGATTAGCAGTTCCACTTGTTTTGGTGAAAGTCTGACCACTAATCACATAATCAGCCTCACATTTGTAAACACCTGATTTATCCATTGTCGCTCTGTTGAGTACAAGGAGTGTTCAAATTTAGTCTCTATCCGATCAGTTAAGAAAATACAGTGGTTTAATGGCTAAACGAATGTACTTTCTCGAGGAAAAATAAATTCCGGAGCAATTTGAATGAAATCGATATGAAATCAATCAAATCGATATGAAATCAACCATCATGTCATTTATCATTAAACTTACGGGGAAAAAAAGAATTATAAAACTCACGAAGAAAACGTGAGGGTTGAAGTTGCAGGGTTAGAATAATCAAAGTTGAAGAGGGTCAGATCCAGGGGAGTGTCAGTCTGACCAACAGCCCTGTACCAGGTAACTGTAAGGGTGGAGCTGGCTGGGTTCCTTATTGTACAGGATAGAACAGCATCCTCTCCTACTAGGTACGCTGCGTTGGTGGGGTCTCCAATAATGCCAATATCTGAAAGGTATTTATTATTATGTGGAAAAGGTTAAAGATTTTGATGGGTAAGAAAAGAGAATGAAAAGAAGAAATAAGGAGAATATGTGGTAGCCCTTTAAGGGAAGCTAATGGGGTTAAATATTTAATAGTTCCTCTAAGGGGGCCAACCTGGCATAAGAAACCGGTGACCACAAAATAAAAGAAGATACTTTAGCTATTTCAACTGCGAGTTACTATCGTAGAACATATTATTGTTTCTCAACTGCGTCCTTACCAATGACAGTGAGAGTAGCAGTGTCGCTCTCAACAACAGTCCCCCCAAAGTCAGCCCTACACTTATACACCCCCGTATTATCTGCTACTGCTGATCTGATAGTCAGTGTGCTTGTGGTCTTCTTGTTGGGCTCATCGTATACATCCTCGTCACCTGATAAGTCCTCCGAATCTTGTGTCCTGAGTAGAGGTAAAGTTAGTTTCGTGGGTAATCATGTGTCCTGTGTAGAGGTAAAGTTAGTTTCCTGGGTAAACATGTGTCATGAGTAGAGGTTAAGTTAGTTTCCTGGGTAAACTAGCCGGTGTGATAATGAGAAACACGCATGGAAGTGTCGTGATGTACTCACCAAGAGATGCTGGCCCTCTGATCCCCGACAACCACACAACTCATCACCACATCCGACCCTTGATCTGCTGTCTGATCAGCAGGATGGGTCTCAAATCCTCTCACAGTCACCACAACAGTTCCACTCAAAACAACAGGGTTGGATCCATCACTGTGTGTGTATGTGGCGATGCAGCTGTAAGTTCCAATATCAGACAGAGTTACAGTTGAGATGGAGAGGGTGCTAGTGTAGAATGTGCTGGAGGTAGAGGTGCTGATACCAGAGTTAACCTAGTGCAGGATAAATGTTATGCTAGTGTAGAATGTGCTGGAGGTAGAGGTGCTGATACCAGAGTTAACCTAGTGCAGGATAAATGTTATGCTAGTGTAGAATGTGCTGGAGGTAGAGGTGCTGATACCAGAGTTAACCTAGTGCAGGATAAATGTTATGTTAGTGTAGAATGTGCTGGAGGTAGAGGTGCTGATACCAGAGTTAACCTAGTGCAGGATAATTGTTATGAATAACATACTGGAGGCTATAAACCTAGTTTTTACACTTTAACGAGTTACGGTAACCACGGATAATTGTACATTATACTCACTAGGAACCGACCGGATATTCGGCTGAATCCGGCTTCAATATCCGGTTCCGGTTCCGGTCCGGTTTCCGAAAATTTTGCCGGATATTTCTTCAAAAAAATATATTTCTAAAATCTTGAAATGCATAGTTTTCGTCAAATTTTGACTCGAATCCTTAAAAAATTATAACATACGTACCTCTGAGGGCAAAGCTCCCACTTCCGAGCTCGTTTTGGAAAAGGGATGCCTGCCTTCCGAGATCGCATTGCAAGTAAAGGAGGAGGCCTCGAGTCCAAAATTGTGTATCAAGGGGCAGGTGTTCGGAAAACCAAAAAATATTTTCGGCTAATAATGAACAGGGTAGTATGAAACGTGGAGAAAAACATGTTTTAAATTTGTGACTTTGTATGTTTGTTTATAGAACCCGTCCCCAATCTCGTATTGGAAAATAACTAAACTCAATTCTGAGTGTGAATACGAGAAGTACCTGCAAGTGTGTTCATTAAGCATTTAGAGTTCTGTAAAACTGCAGTTACAATTGTGCTAGAGTATTTTTTGTATTTACGATCAATATCATATCTCGATCCCTACATGCTTCCAAAATTTAAATCTCCAACTTTCTGCACATGTATTGGATTAATGTTTGAAAAAAAAAGTGATATTGAAATAAAATCAACGATTTAATTTTAGGAAAGTAAAATTAATTTCCTGGTTTCTTAAGTCAGCTTTAAAGTATTTTATTTCCCGTACCTCACATTATGACATTATGACTGAGATTCACAGATCTCTGGTTACCGAGCAGATTCGGAGCCAAAACTGCTTAGTTTTAGGTTGCTAAAGTTCCGGAAATTCTTGAATTCCGCGAACAGATCAATTAAAGGCAAGATGACCGATTTGTTGTTTACGTTTGGTAAGTGTTCTAGCCGGCAGGTAGTAATCATGATGTCACGTTTTAACGATAAGAAAATATTTGCTAATGTGACTGAAGCTCTGGAAAATCTTACTGGGCCGCGCTCAGCCTGTCATTCCGCCGAATCTCATGCTATAAGATTGTGAACATGATAGCCTGAGGTCCCCAGGTAATGGAAAATCGTGATATAAGTTGAACCGTAAAATGTCTCGTTTTTAGCATTCCAAGTATTTGCTGTAAATATTTTATTTTATGCTTATGTAATTATATAAATTATGGAAAACTAATTCGAAAAAACATAACGATTTTTTTGAATTAATTTTCCATAATGCCCGAGTCATTCTCGAATTCGATACGTACCTCTGAGGGCAAAGCTCCCGCTTCCGAGCTCGTGTTGCAAAGGGGCGGCCTGCCTTTTGAGATCACATTACAAGGGGAAGACTCGAGTCCAAAATTGTGTATCGAGGGGTAGATGCAGACTTCGGAAAACCGAACAAATATTTTTTGCTATTAATGAACAGGGTAGCATGAAACGTGGGAAAAAAGTTTAAAGAATTTGGAAGACCGAAAAGCCAATCCAGTCCGGCAGCCAAAAGCCTAATCGGTCGGTTCCTAATACTCACTACATTAACATAATCAAAGAAATAAAGCAGTACGAACATCGGCATCATTTAGTTTCCATCTCAAGGTCCTGGAAGTGTAAGTTGGATCTAAATTCAACGAACAAGACATCTGAAGAGTTTCAGTGACAGATACGATTTGGGCTTCTGTAGGGGTCACCAATAGATCTGAACGGAGCTGAGATTAACATGACGACAATGACGACATGACGACAATATTTTGTAATTAACATTATTTGGTAAGAATATGTCCTTGATCATAACAATTTAGTAGTAATACAACTTTCAAATTTTGTTGTTTAGTATTGATTTTAGCTCATGAGTCATGACGGATATTTATCTGCCAAATGACTTAATGAATCAGAATGTATTCAATAAAACGTTTTACCAAGGATATTCAAGGTAATTTCAGTAGAAGAATCATCTAGAATCGGATCAGCATAATCAACTCTACATGAGTAGGACCCAACGTCAGTAGCATCAAAACTGTAAACAATCAGATCGGACTCCGAAATTTTTGTTATCCCATCGACTTCAAAGGAGGTGGCCAGTGTAGTTGATATGGTGTAAGTGGTATCGTCACTTGTTAGAGGGGTATCTAAGTCGCCTTTAAACCACTGGATAGCAACTCCGACGTCCCTAGATTCAACAGTACAAGTGATATGTCCAGCCTCACCGGACTTTACCGACGGTGCACTTGAGGATATCGTCAACTCTGAAATACAAAAATAAGAGGAAGCTTAAATTATATCGTTGATCTGTAAAGTTCTCGTAACAAATTCCTTCGAAGACACGGTTCTCACTCTCTAACAAGTAACAAGCTAACAAGGAAACGAAAGGCAATTCAGTAGTGTGGCATAACACGGTTAACGCACGGTAAGGCACGGTTAAAGCACAGTTAAGGCACGGTTAACGCACGGTTAAGGCACGGTTAAGGCACAAGGGTTACATAAGGCACGGTTCTTAAGGCACGGTTAACGCACGGTTAACGCACGGTTAAGGCACGGTTAAGGCACAAACTGCCCAAAAGCAACCATTATGGTCGCTTAAGGCACAGTTAACGCACGGTTAACGCACGGTTGGGGAAATATAACATATTTCTAGTCCCCTGCTACACGGCATGTAAACAGGGATTGGCTAGTTAGAGGCGGTCCGTGTAGGCCTTACACTGTGCTTTCAGCAATACTCATATAAACAAACAAGTGGTTAACTAAGGCACGGTTAAGGCACGGCTAGGGAACAAGGGTTACAGCGCTAGCTGACGAGTAATATCGCAAACATTTTGCAACTGGCAAAAATTTTGCGCTGGCCAACTTTGCTGGCCAGCGCTAGTTGTCGCTGGCTATGCGACACTGTTGCACCCGATAGTTTGCGATGGCCAGCGCAACTGGCCATCGCAGAAAACAGTTCGATAACTAGCGCTGGATAGCGACAACTAGCGCTGGATGGCGGCAACTAGCGCTGGATGGCGACAACTAGCGCTGGATAGCGACAATTATCGAACATATATATTTTGCGCTGTATAGCGTTATCCAGCGCTGGATAGCGACAACTAGCGCTGGATGGCGGCAACTAGCGCTGGATAGCGCTAGTTGTCGCCATCCAGCGCTAGTTGGATGGCGTAATAGAGTGACAGAGCTTGTTTATTTCGGGATATGATTCATGTCAGCTGATCAACGAGATCAAAAGTTTGCATGTATTGATAAGTGTGCGGGTGGTGTCAGCACGCAGCAAGGTTGGGTGATGTGATCAGGAATCTCAGCGAATTACTTCTGATGCAAATAATGCTTCTGGTAAACATGATGCTAGGATCACCACCAATGACCCTAGTACTGGAACCAGCGTTGAAAACCAATCAACTCGTGATAATAACCCTGATGATCACCTGACCCAGACCAGTTGCAATAACTGTTCAGAGCTAAAACATTCAATGTCTATACTTCAGGACAGTTTGCTCGAACTCAAGGAAGAGATGCTCCAACAAAAAGCAATCTCTGACCTTATCCTGTCGTCCCCAACCACATCTGAAAAAAGCATGTCATCCCTGTTTAAAAACAAGGTTGGCCCAATTGACACCAAGCTGAATGGAATACGGGCTGACCTCGATCAACTCAGAGCAGCAGTAGATGAGCAGAACATAATTCTCGAAAAACTGATCAATTCAACATCTGCCAATTCCGCTCACAAAAAGCGGATTGAGACCCTCGAGATCGGCCAAGAAAACTTGACGAAGGCCACGAAGGGAATTGCCAAGTCTGCACTCAACCAATCTCATGCCTTAACCCAAGAACTCAAACACGAGCTTCGCCCCATCGTCGATGCAATTGATACCACAAGCGCTTCTAACAGGACGAGAATAGAAGCCCTGGAGATCAACTTAGAGGACACTATACAAGCACTAAATACTGCTGACCAACCTGCAGCGACCAACATAACCGTGGCACCCAACAGTCCTCTCACAGTGAACTCTAAGTCAACATCCAATCGCGATAAACCCAGTGCACTCAGTAACAGTTCCAGTAATGCCACAGCACGTCTAGGAGAAAACGAGCCCAACCAATCAGTGACTTCCTGGGTAAAGGTGGTCGAACAAAGCAACAACAAACGATTCACAGTGGCAAACAAGCAGAACATGAAAAACCACAATGAAAGGGGCCCCAAAGATGATCGACCTACTAAAGAAATGAGGCTAAATCAAGGGAGCCTCAACAGTAGAAGCCGAACAAATGATCCTGGACACCAAGTAGAGCAAACCAACACCCCCGATCGGGGTCTTAATGAAGCAAACTCTGCCGCTAAAGCTACGGAAAGCTACAGGCGACACACAGTTCTTCTGGTCCATGACGAGAGCTTTGACAAATTTGATCCAAGGCGCTTTAACAGTCAGTTCAATGTTCACTGCTTTAAAGCAAATAGTTATTCAGACATGCTGAAAAAAACAAAGCAGCTTAACAATACTATAAAGCGACTCAGACCGGAGTGCATTTATATCCACACAGGGAGCAATGATTTCCTCAAGAAGAAATCAAGCCTTGTGGGTAATGTGAAGGAACTCTACGAACATCTACTAAAAACCACAAAGGCCCAAATATGGTTCTCAGCGCTGATACCCTCCTCCAATGATTTTAGCATTAATGAAAGAATACGTGTCGTCAACGAGGAGACTAGAAACCATGTTAGTTGGCTCCGCGAACACAGGCCGGATGTCAAAGATAGGATCTTCACCTTTACCAACGACAAAATTGGCGATCAAAACTTTTATTCGTTCAACACAGGATTCGAACTAAGACAGAGAGGTCAAAACATGCTCTGGCTTCGCCTCCGGGAGGGCCTGAGGAAGACCCTGCGCCTCCCCCGAATAAGCTACCACGACAATGATGAAACAACTACAAGACGCAGCACCAACAGGTTTAGCAATGACTAAACCCACACAAACGAGGTCCCGCCACTCCCTTAAGTTCCTGTGCTGGAATATCAACCACTCTCGGGACAAAGTTGAAGGAGCCAAGGTTGACATTCCCGAAATTCGTGAGCTCTTCGACAACCACGATATTTTTGCTCTGCAAGAAACAAAAGGGGAGATCAACATAAGTAACTACTGTTGCTTTAATTCTAACAGGAAGGGATCAAATTCAGGAGGGGTATGTATAGGAGTACACAAAAGCTTAAAAGCCGGTGTAACCAATGTTCGTATGAACTCCACGGAAGATATCGTTGTAGTTAAACTGAAAGCTAA